GCATCAGTGACTTTTCAGAGGGACAGGATAGAGCAACAGAATTTCCCTGTACAAGCAACTTTTCACAACTTGCTATGAAATAGCTAAATAAAACTTTGGCTGGCCTCTGCTCCAAATTATACACAGTGGATGTTTGAGGTGAGTGATTATCATCCAAACCCTGTATGTCAGCTGATCTTCCTCCATTTAGGAATTCAGAAGGTCTGAACAGTAGCTCTGAAAAGTCAGAGGGGGGAGTGGGGGTAGTGGTGTTTCTTTTGCTACAAAGTCCCAAACCCTCTCCTATAAGAGCATCAACTCACTGTTCACTTGAAAAGGACTGCAGGATCTAAGCACAAAAGCTTAGTTTAACATTCTTGCTCTGTAGATACATGGGTGGAAGAGAGTGATACTCTGCTAAAAGGACATCCCAGCACCATCACTTCAAGCAGTATTGCAGAAATGGCCAGTAATATAACCTAAAGAGCAAAAAACACCCTGAGGCAGCCCAGCAAGGATGTGGTCCCAGTCTCATGCCACACATCTCTCTGGAGCTGCTTGCTTCATTGTGCTTACATCTGTGAGAGAAATTAAAGGAAGGACCACTTCTGCTGTCCAACAATTATAAGTACTGAAGTACTTATAAACTGCTTGGAACAATTTAATCTATAAAATGCCAATGAATTGCTTCTTCCTGATCCAAGTCTTGTTAATATGGCATTAAACCCATACAAAGGCAGAGTCACTGTCACCTGCAGAAAAGTTCCATTCAACAAAAAAATCATTCCCAAAGCATACAAAGTTATAAAGTATTTCTGAAGCACCACATATTTCAATTACAAATATTTCAATTCAAGGCAGGCTCTTCAGTAGAGAATTAAATATGCTGCCATAACATGCAAGTTACATACTTCTCTGCTACTTCTATATTCAAAGCCAAATACAGCGATCTGCTATACAAACTAGCTTTCTAAGAGGTATAAACACTAGATTAATGATAAAACTTCATTTTGTTACTAAAAAAAAAATCTCACTTCTACCTAACCCTTAACATTTTGCTGCTCTCACAAAACATCAATAAAAACAAGTCCTTTAAAGGAACATTTGAAAACCAGAGACAGGCAATCAACAGCTCAGATCTCAAATGAAGTAATGAGTTCAGCTGCCTTCTAAACATTTACTTCCACTGAAAAGTAAGTTTTGCTCACTCTGGACTGGTTGCATACTGACATGCCAGTCAGTGTGAGGGAAGATAATAAGATCTGTCAGTCTCTGAAAAAAACTTTTAACAAACAAGGCTTTTTCCTTAAAGAATTGTTTGGTTTGATTTTGCAAGCTTCACCAAGTCTCCCGAGGGGTATATTTTCCTCCACTGTGCCAGTGGCCTGTTAGAGACACTGCAACAGTGGAAGACTTAACCCCATCAGAAGATACCATCTCTCCTTCTTAATGCAAAATGGGGCCAGGTTTACTACAGTTTCATTTTAAGAGATTACCCCTGAGAATCAAGTTCAACTACAGTTTATGCCTAAAGCCCAGCAAATGAATATACAGTATATCTTAAGTATATTTTAAAAAAAAATCTTTGAAAGGCAAATGCAGCTGAAACTCCCCAGAGGAGATGAAAATGTTGTAGTAAATTTATGAAATACTAAGTCTCATGAATTTATGCTATGTTGAGAATAGCAACACAAAGCCTCCTAGAGTGATTAAACATCATACCACTAAGTTTAAAGACCCAGATCCCCCTCCCAATTAACATTTTTGTTTGAAAACTAACTCTATTTAATTAGAAATTTCCTCTTGCTATGCCAATTACATTTTAAAACCTTTTTCCTGTGAAATTTAAGTGCACTATCTCATTTGACACACAAAGTACTATTAAAAACAGCCCAGAGTAGAAAAAAGTTTTTCTTTCTTCAGTATCAAGCACCTGGCAAGTAAATGGAAGGTTCCTGCAAAGCCTTAAAGGCTATTAAAGGCATTCCTCTTTCTCCCTAGGGATTTAAAACTCGGTTATTTTTATTCCTCTTTTTAAGCCTATGAAATTACATCATCTTTTCCCCTTTGATTTACACTCTACAGTATTTTTTCCCGCATTGTTCCCCAATTTGCTAATTCACTAATTGAAACTGCTGCTAGCTCAGTCATGAAATAACAGGTGAGGAAACATCCATAGCTTGTCAAATCTTTGAGAAATAAACTAATGAACTGCCTTGGAAGGATCTCTACCAAAACACCGTGATAAGAGTATGAAAGTAAGAGCTTTCTATTTGCTCGATGTTTGTTAACTTCCCCAGAAATACAGCTGCGTAAGTCTACAGCATAGGGTCAATTCACTTCCCGGGCATTTGGTGCTCTCTAAGCCCAAGGTAACTTTGCACAAAGAGAACTGCTGACCTTCTTACTGGTCCTACATCTGGGCCTGTTGCATTCAAGAGAAGATTGCTGCAATTGTGTGAGCTCCCTCTTGTAAAACATTCTTGTTCACTCCCATGAAACATCTGCAGAAGTGAGACCCCTCCTCTTAACACCTCATGCCCTCTCCCTCCCTCCTTCCCACCCAAAAAAAAACCCCAATCAGCAGTAGCAAAAAAAATTGCTATTAAAGAACTGATTTAGGAAAGTCATTCCAGTTGACAACCATTTAGAACAGGATTTGAGAAGGACAAAAAACACTGGCTGGAAAAAAGGAGACATTTGTCCCTACTCACAGGATCCTAGAATCACCCAGGTTGGAAGAGACTGCTGGAAATCAGTTAGTCCAACGCCCCTGGCTAAAGCAGAGTCAGCTAGAGCAGGCTGTCCAGCACCATGTCGTCCAGTTGGGTTTTCCATGTCTCTAAGAACAGAGACACCACAACCTCTCTGAGAAACCCATTCCAGTGTTGGACCACCCTCACAGCAAAATAGCGGGGTTTTTTTTTGTGTTCAGACATTCATGTGTTTTAATTTGTCTGTTGCATCTTGTCCTGTCACTGAGCACTACAGAGAAGAGCCTGGCTCCCTCATCTTCATTCACTCCTATTACATATTTATACAAATTGATAACATCCCTCTGAGCCTTCTCTTCTCTAGGCTGAACAGTCCCAGCTCTCAGCCTCTCCTCATATGAAAGATGCTCCAGTCCCTTGATCACCTTTGTGGCCCTGCACTGGACTCTCTCCATTAAACCTGCTTATATCTTATATTAAGGATCCCAGAACTGGACACAGTACTCCAGATGCGACCGCACCAGTGCTGAGTAGAAAAGAAGGATCACCTCCCTAGACCTGCTGGCAATGCTTTTCATACTGCAGCACAGGATACTTTTGGCCTTTTTTGTGCCGCTAGGGTGCATTGCTGGCTCATGGTCAGCTTGTCCACCAGGACCCTAAGATCCTTCTGGACAAAGCTGCTTTCTAGCCTGGCAACCCCCAGCATTTACTGGTGCATGGAGCTATAACTCCCCAGGTAAAGGACTTTGCATTTCCCCTTCTTGAGCTTCATGAGATTTCTCTGCTCAATTCTTCAGCTTGTCGAGGTCCCTCAGAATGACAGCACAACCATCTGGTGTATCAGCCACTAGTCCCAGTTTTGTATTGTCTGTAAACTTGCTGAGGGCATACTCCATCTAATCATCAGGTCATTGATGAAGACATTGACCAGTGCTAGCCCTAGTATTGCACCCTGCAGTACCACCAGTCCAAGAGTCCCAGCACTTGGAAAGAAACTACTCAGAGATGGAAAAAGTCAATGGGTTCATCTACTTCAGATGCACGGACTGCAATTGCTTTTGCCATGCAATATTTGTTTGCTAGTGCGCACATATATAAGATAAGTAAGACTGCAAAACAGTAGTACAAGGTCTCCATATAGTCATTCCCCACAAAGCAGGTCTTGCTTCTAGGATGCAGATAAAACTTCCTGTCCACCTAAACCAACAATCCCTTCTACGTCACAGTTCTCCCCAAATACCAGCAACGAGCAGACACACACAGTCCTCAAAGCTGCATAATCTTCCAAAGTTAAAAATTATGCAGCCTTCCTGCTATGCAGAAAGTAAAGCAAGCCAGCTTTTGGTTTTCATTTTCTTTGGGCTCTTATTTCCTTCTTCTGAAGTAGTCATGACATAGGACCACATCTGTGTATGGCTAAATCCACAAACAGTGTCAAATTCTGCTGTGATCTAGTAAAGCAAGTGGTAGTCCAACATTTAAAATAGGGCAAATTGCACTTTTACACACATTCTTGCATAGCATACATAATTGAAAAATCAAGACAACTTAAATTCATCCAGAGACCTTCTCTAGAGCTGAACTGAACAGTCACACAAACTTCTTGCTAGCCAATTCCTATTGCTTACAAATGACCACATCCATACCACTCCCTCATGAGTGGAATGGATATAATATAATCAGGCAATCAGGTATAATGGTTTCTCATGATCCTTCATCATTTTATAAAAGAGATTGGACTCTGTTGGCACTGATTGGGGCAAAGGGAACTGCATTATTAGATGGCACTTAATTTTAGTGAAGGACTTGCTTCCTCCTCTACTACCCAAGTTGCTTTCCAGCATACTTATGAGACTGCTTCCAAGATCTAGCAGAGTTCTACCACCAGGAGGGAACATGCAGCTGATGGAATGCTCACCTTGAAGATGTACAAGCTCTACTGCTGCACTGTAGAGCATCCTGTAGGACAGGAAGAACTGAAATTTTAAACTTTGTTGGCCTGTCAGTCAGCCTTATGAACACTTTCACAGACCTGTCTGTGGTATAAGAGGAATACCTCTCTACAGTCCTCCTTTACTCCTCCCAGCACAGTCTCACTTCATAATAGTTCCACAGCAGAGAAATCAATTACATTATCAAGTGGCTCACCAATGCAGCTTGCTTCCCCTTGAATATCTCACTATTTCCCCTACTTCTATATTTCCTGTAAGCACTATAAGCCTGAAAGGAAAGTTAACATACTAGGTAAAGTTTCACAGGCTTTGTGCCCATTTCGTTACCAGAAAGAGTCCCAGAATTTCTTACCTGCAACAAATAACTGCTTTACAGGAGAGTGCCAAGTCCAGAAAGCTCTGCCTGACTTCAAATGACAGGGCATACTTCAGTGTGTGGCCATCAATAATCAGAGCAATATCGTTTTCCTTGCCCAGCGACTCCCCCAAACTGGTACAATGTTGAGTCAGAGAAGCTCTTGTTGCCTGAAGAATAAACAGAAAGAAATCATGTTTCTTCTTAATATAAGTGCATCCAAAATGCAGCAAGGCACTTCTGGACTATGCAATGGAGCACAGTATACATGCACCTGAACTAGCACTGACATGAGTTAGTGTTTTAACAGGACCTTGTGCAGACATGTTAATTTGGGTCACAAATCAGCAAAAGCTGCATCTGCTTGCCTAGGAACACATGCCTTGTTTCAGCGCAGACTCGGGCATCTCCACTACACACCCCTGCATGACGTATGTGCCCACAGTAGTCGTGATACATCCTCTTCAACTGTAGGGCAGATATAACCTAATGCCTTTCATGGCTTTTGACAACATTCAAAGTATTACTATTTATTCAAACAGTATTCCCTATCCCAAAAACATTTTCACTGAAAGCTGCTTCTGGGAAAAGAAAAAAAAATAAAAATCAAGTGCTCATGTTTCACTGTCACCCCAAATATTTCAACCATCTACTGCAGTGAAATTCATGCTTACAGCAGTCTGTTCCATTCCCATGCAGGTTAGTTTAACCATCAGTTCCAGCTGAGTTAACCACTGCTAAATAGTTCAAGAAGTTGCTCATGATCTGAAGTGTATGTGCACTTTTTGACAGAGAAGGTCTTGACACATAGGACATAGGATGGAAGAACATAAAAAGCAAAGACTTCAGTACCAGTCAAACACTGCTTTTAGGTGACAAATGATCACTAACTGCTGGATTATATAATTTTTCAGTTTTCCCCCTTTGTTCAAAAAAACAGTATCAGTAGTACACACAAAAATAACTGGTTTCTCTTTTAGCAAATCCTCACCTAGTTTCCAGTCTAGTGTTCTCTCCACTCTTAAACCAACCAAAAAAAGAGAAAATGCACTCCTGCTCATCTTAACTGTGCAACTTCAAATAATTGTGCTGAACCAAGTGTTATACACGTTTCTGCTTATTGATATTTAAAGGTACTAGTTTTGTGATCTGTGTTGGTCTAAGCAAAACACATTTTTTTTTCTTTATATAACAGAAAAAACACTAGAACAGTTATAACTGTCAGAAATGAAAATGTGATATTTATGCCTCATTGCAACCCATTCATCATTTTATAGATCCAGATTTCTCCAGAGGATTGCAAGCCAAACTGTTGCCAAATGCCTATTTGCACCTCCAGTTTAACAGACAGATGTTAAAAAAAAGAAAGACTCAGGTAGCTAAACTAGTTACTCTGGACTACACACCTGCTGGTCCTGAGGAACAGATTACCTCAATGAAGGCCAGCACTGATGTGGAGTCTGGATTTTTCTCTCTACATTCAACTGGGAACAGGAGTTGGGGTTTTTGCACATGGTTGAGCAAACCAAAGATATCTAGAAACCTGCACACATGAATCCCCTTACAAAGATGGCAAAAGTAGTATTTAAAGTTGCATCTCTTCCACATCAAAGACGTCTAAGCCAAAAAGCTCCAGCTCTATATCACAGCACTAAAACAGTGGGAAACAAGTTTACATTCCTAAAATACTTCCTTCAGCAATCTCTCCAGCATCTATCCATGAAGGGAAGAGATAGGAAAAAACAACACAAAGAGCTTCCTAGTACCACGGCTTAATTTCTTGATCTAAGCTTTTACAAGCTGTTTCTGTGCACTCAAAAGACAGAAGTATCAGACTGAGGTGGGTTTTTTCCTGCAAATAAAGTGATGGGAAACTCCTCTGACCTGGGTGCTTGCAGGGCTGTTTCTCACCTTTTTCTCCTCACTCACTATCTGTGCATCCTTTCTTAAATATGCTTTCCCACAGGTGCCACCATCTTGGCTGAAGGGCTCAGCTGTGCCCTGCAGAACCAGCTGTGTCTGGCACAGGGCAGACCCAGCCTCTCCTCACCAAGGCCCCTGCAGCCCCAACACCTTGCCACAGACACCCAGAACAGCTGACCAGATGGGCACTACTACAGTGCTCGGAGAAGCTCAGGTTAATCAATTCAGTATGTCAAACTACCACATACTGAGAGCTATTCCGCACCCTCCAGGAAAAAGAGCCACAGGCAGTGCTTCTGGGTTACGGTAGACCACCTCTCCCACTGTCCCCACCCCACCCCCCGCTTTTTTTTTTTCTCCTTATCACTACACTTCAGTAAGACCACACTAACTCAAGTTCTCATGCTCACTAGAGGCCAAGCACCAATAAAATTATGGCTGCTCAGATATTATACAGCCTGCCGGTGCTTCCCAGCCTCCCAACAGCTGCAGTCCCATGAGCCACCATCGCAGCAGCTCTGGTGTCTCGTACTGCAGCCCTCAGAAGGGCCAGGTTCTGTGCACCACAACGCTGTCCTCTGTTCCTCTCTTCCCCGTCACTCCCATTTTGGTGGTAAATTTTAGTGAGGTTGTAATAGTAATATTCACCCTGGCTAGAGGTATCCTGACCGCAGCCATCAGCAACCGCAATCAGTCCAAACTTCACTTCCATCACCATGACAGCAGGATCATCCCAACTTTGGACTTCAACCATTCCAATAATGTTTTACTGAAAAAACCAGCAAGAAAAGTGTTCCCTTTCTGTTGATTTAAGTTGGTTGGGTTTTTTTTAACAAAGATTTCTACTACAGGATTACATAAGTGATCTTTAAATGCCCATGTCCATAAGGTCATGATAAAGGATTTTTTCCTTCATCTTTTTATTTCCAGCTCAAATAAGAATCACCTTGTTTCAGAAAAATACACCAAATTAGATAATTATCTAATTTTAAAAGTGTTCTCCATGTGTAATACTGAGTGAAATAGATCTGATTTCTGTCAAGACAGAGAGCCACCACAGTACACTGAGCAGCAAGATTGAGTGCACTGTGATAGTTAGAGGCTACATATTTTTGCTTGCCTTGAATCGTGTTTCTCATACAAAACTCAATAAATATGTTGAGGTCTGAAATGTATCATAAAACTGCTAAACATGGCAGCACTTCCAGCCATCTGCTGTGTAAAGTTCCGAAGTTTGACTAGATCAGTTTTACACACAAAGCCAGTAAAATAAGACAAAAATAGCCACACTCAATCAAACCAGACCACAACCGTGGCCAAAAGCAACCAGCCGGGAATGAGTGCAAGAATACAGCATGCCTATACCAGCAAGCATATACTCTCTCAGAAGACCCTCTGGGCTGCCACAGTTGGCAGCTCAGGGACCTCCCAAGCCAGGTGCAGGGTCTGTTATGGGAGAGCCCTCGATCCCCAGTTACCATCAAGAACTGCGGGAAGCAGATCAAAAGGTTAACAAGGGGAGAGAGGTCACTTCTCCTCTAGAGTAAAGAAGGATGCAGAACAGCATGTAGACAAGGAGGAAACCCCAAGAAACATTGGAGATTATATGAATTTTGGGTGGTAAAGAAGTTGAGGACATGACAGCAGTCAAGACAGCATTACTGAGCAGAGGAGGAGGATCAGGTAGCCAGAATGACTGAGCTTTCCTGGGCCAAACAGGTGGGAGGAGAGTCAGGCCACTTTCACACAAAGGGGAGGAAAAAAAGGAAGGGAAGTTGCTTTGCAATTTATTTTCTCTCGCCCCACTCATTGGTATGGTAGTCAGAACAAACTCACCCTGATTCACCAAGAAACTAGCCCCAAACTGGAGGCAAATTTACAGACTAAGTTAATGAGTATGACAGTGTACAGTTCAGCCATTTCAGACACAGATTACATTTTGCACCTTCTTCATTACAAGAATGACTGCGTCATTCCCTGCTTCCCTGTTAAGCTGTGAGAGATTAGATTTATGTCTTCATGGCATGCTTTATTTACACTGTACCTGAAAATTTAACACAAAGTAGATGACTGTGCTTAAACCATTACAGACTGGTGCAGGAAAAACAAGGGTATGTCTTGTGGGAAGAAAGTCGTTTTATCTACTTCAGCACCACTAGGTAGTGACAACATTCACAGAAATCCCAAGGATGGTATAAGGGATACAGTTTGGGTAATGTCATCAATAACAGAATTTTAACCCAAGAACCCTTGCCCCTGGGATCTTGGGGTAAGTGTCATTTGTTTTTCTTTACTGCTTCCTCTCAGCCTTGCTCAAACCTTTTTCTTGCTGTCAAATGCAGAATTACCCCCTGTCCTTCTCCTGAATCCACCCACAGGATTAAAAACTTCTCTGACTATTTGAAACCAAGGGAGACAGTCCCTGCCCTTATTCCCTGTCTAGCCCTTCTGGCACTTCAGAGGAAACACCCTCATTTTCCTGTTGCTTCTTTACCTGACCCAAAGGAAGGTGAAGGGCCAGGGCCCAACCACGCCCTCCTGCAGAGGAGAACCTGAGGGCAAGTTCAGGAGGGTTATTCAATATCCATCATCTGTTGCCCAAAAGAAAAAGTGACATGACAACAGAAAGACTTACAAAAGGTGATGGTTCTCATCAGATAAGATTACTAGTCTCTCCATAGCTTATTATCATGGCTATGCATAAAGCCTCATCCAATTCATGCCCTGGTCACTGAACTTACTACTCTTACATACAAGATGCCACAGAATCAGTAACAGGGTTAATAATACTCCAAGAAGCTGTAAATCAAGGATTACAAACCAGGCACCTCATTTAAACAGCTTTTTGTAAAGCTCTCAATATACTCTTCCATACACATGGCTAACTTACAACCTAACAGCTTATACAGTAAAAAAGCACTAGTTATTATTTCTGTTTCTTCCAACTACTTACAAATGCTATGTTTTAAAAAAGAAAACAAACTACTGCTCCTGTAGGCCAGTGCAATTAAGCAAAAGAAACTAGCTCCAAATCTCACTGGGTATATAATAAAGACTTCCTAAGTAAGCAGATGAACAAACATTTGGAAACCATGGGGAACTATATCCTTCTATGGGCAACTCATTAAACTAGAGTAGAAATCTCTACTTTGATACCTAGCTTTTACTCTGTGTTTGACATCAAGGGCTAAGTTTCTTCTCTGAGTCACATCAAGCAAGAATAAATCAATCCTTCACTAGAACAAGC